ATGGCTTCCTTCAGCTGCACTGCCTTGAAATAGAAGAAACCCAAAGTGGTGTGAGTTTCATGTGGAGAAACATATGGGTGGGTTCAAGAAACAGCAAATATTGGGGAATCCAGTCTAGTCTAGGGGAGAATTCCTGTCTGGTCTCCAAACAATTCAGATTGCTTAACCCTGAGCAAGACCTACTATGGGACAATGAAGAATTTATCTGTGAGTAGCATCAGTACAGTGCTCTGCATCTTACCCTAGCTCACTCTGGCAAATTCTCAGTTGTCCTAGGGAAGAAGGAAAATGGAGACCAAGTTATACACAGAGGAAAGGACAAAGATGGATGCACACAGCAAATTCTTCCTGGACTGTGCAGAAATAAGCAGGAGCCCTGAAGCATAGCATAAATACAAAACAAACATTGTGTTTACAGAGACAACTCTCAGTGCTTAAGACTCTTTTCCCTGTAGCTTTTTTCCCTGATTATTGACCAACAGATGACACCTCTGCTGTTCTGCTTTTAAACAAATGGGGAACAGGCAAGCTGTTGCACAAAGTCTCCAAATACAAAGTTATATCCCTCCCTGCTCTTCTGTGGATCCAACCCAAATATGTCAATTTGCTTTTCTTAATTGCTTTTTGTTTATTTCATCAACTGGTTCTCCTTGTGAAACCTATTGGCACTCTGGCTTAGATTTTTGGATGGTTTACTTATTTTAACCCATTCACAGCATCCCTGATGCTGCAACCTGCTTCAGGAATAGTGACATGGGCTACCATGACTCTTGTCATCAAGAGGGCACAGTTCAGCATGGGGCTGCTCTTCTGACCCCTCTGTGACAAATCAGAGCCATCCTGTGGGGAGGGGATGGCATCTGTCACAAGTAGTCTTGGCACCCCTCAGCATTCCTGTCTTTCCACAAAGCTATGACTTTGTCAGGGGCTGTCAGTGCTTCATTTTGGGTTACCCCTCTAAAACTTTCAGTATTTTTAAGTCAGTTGCATAGTTGACCAACCCATTTGACATCCTAAATTTATAGTTGATGGGATTTTAATTTGTTTGGAAAAATAAATTTCACTTCATTATATTATTTGTCTCAAACTGTCCTCAATGAGGAGCTCAGAGCCAGCACATGGGTGCAGTGATGCCACGTGTGAAGGCAATAAATGCATTGCAGCTGTTTTTCTGGCAAATACCTGGAGTGTGACTAAATAAAAACCTAAGGCTAAATTTTTGCAGCAGTTGATGGCTGCTGATCACAAGCAGTATGTCTTGTCACTGGTGGGTGCAAGGGGAATCTTTTGCTTTCAAAACATACTAATTAATTGAGTAGCCATTACATGCGTGACTTGCTCCTCTGAAGTGTGCTTGGGTGCATGGGAGCAGTATAAATCCAGAAGTTCCTTCTTAGATTTAATCCTGATGAATTAATCAACAGACAATATTGCAAGCAGTCCCTCCAGACTGAGTGATATTTACATAAGAAAGAGCAACGTTCTCTTCATTAGTTATGCATATAATTGAAGTTCCATTTTGTTGTAGGCCCTAACAAAGCTTTAGGTTAAAATACAAAGCCATTATTGGATGCTAGTTCTAATTAGTCTTTAATGGCCCAATCCTGGAAACTCTGAGGCCCACAAGTAATGAGAATTTATTGAGACTATCCTCACAAATGAAATTGTAGAGGGACATATTGTTTTACAGAATTGCATATTAGAAAGCCTGAAAGCATCTTTTCATAAGAAAAATAGTATGGTTATTTAACAGCTACAATTCCTTGTTCCCAAATCTTGGAGATACCCTATTATGAAAAACAAATAAACCACAAAATCCTCTTATGAATCAATTATAAAGATATTTAATCCAGTAAATTTTATTTTTAAAAATGAGAAAGTTTAAAGAGAGCATTTCTGATCCAGTCTTGCCAATTGCAACAATTGTATTTCTACTCTTAAAGTCTTCAGGTCAAGATGTATTTGGGGGCGATTTATCCTATTCTCTGATGGTCTCAGTCTACTGAGATGAACTGCTTGCACAAAATTTTTATCTGTACTATTGAGTGCAGTAACAGCTTTGAGAGACTGAAAAATCCCTTCTTCTCCTCTGGACTCTCTGGGACCTTGGGAAAAACTTTATTAAACTGCTGACAATGACATCTTGATATATGAGACTGTACATTGGGCTGGAGGACAAGGAACAGTCAGATAATCCCAAACATCCTGCATGGAGATCATCCTCATGTTTTTGACAAGTTCCTGGGGAAGGCACAGAAACCACATGAAGCAGCCCTGCATGCAGGAAGGAGTGAAAGCTGTGCTGTGGGAGATGTTGTGCCCTTTTTGTAACCACTGTGATACATCATCCTCCCAGAGGGGACAGAAATCTCTTGGACCCTGAGCCATGCACACCTTTGGAGAAAGGAGAACAGGTAAATGTTTTGGTTCCAGTCTGATGGGATAGCCCAAAGGAAGCGAAGGTGTGCTTGCAGACTCCCTTGTCATGCAATTACACAGGAGCCTTGTCTGTGTTTTCTTCCTATCACGACCTTCTCCTGAGGGGACAGTGGAGCAGAGAGGTGAACTGTCACCAGGCAAAACAGGCAATGTTTAGAACCTCTGTGGTAGGGATCCAGCCTCAAAGGAGAGGGAGAAAATGGGAGAAAGGGAGATCATGGCTGAGAAAACAAGTGTTTATGTATGGTGTGATAGATGGAAAAGTCAATGATGAATGACCCAAAAAATTGCCCATCTTCAAAAGCAATGGGTTCTTTGCTGAGGCCAAGTTTGCACCCCCTAAATGAAGGGAACAGGGAGAGCTTTTGGTGTGTGGTGCTAAATCTGCTGATCCATATTAGACAGGGTGTGTGCACCCACTCCAGAGGATGACCACAGCAAACTGATTTTTGTTTGGATAAATGAGCTGAGCCCTGTAATTGATTTTTTCCCTGATAATCTGGGACTGATGTATTAAACAAGATGTTTTCTGGCCTTATAAGAGAAAAAGCTGATAAGAAGCAGATCCTGCAGAAGTGGGGTGATGTCTTCTCTCATGCCAATTCCCTCTGATAAGACACAGCTGGCTCAGCTACACAGGGGCCAAACTGCTGTAATGTCTTAGAAGGCATCATAAACCATCAAGGACCCCAAAGAGCCTCCAGACTAATTTCTGGGGCCTTCCACCAAGGGTTTGTGCATGATCCACGGTGTTGCATCACACAGTGTAAAATTCACCCCCTCAGGGGGGGCACCTGGGTGTTTCCAGCTGAACCTAAACCATATATTTACCCACTGAATTTTGTGTTTCATGGGCTTCCCTCACCCACAATGGATCAAGACTGTGATCATTATTTCAAAGCATGGACACTGAAATTGCAACAATCAAGACCCATTGCAGGATCCACCAGTGGTGATATCTCTCCAGTCCTTTATACTCTTATGCATTCTTTCTCTTTCTTTCTTTTCTTTGTATATTGCTGCTATTCATTTCTCTCCAAGCACAAAGGGCCACACTCATATCCCCAGCAGCAGCCAGTAGGCTGTGGAGAAAGGGAAGGGGGCAAGGAGAACACGTATAAACTATTTTTCTGTAAGTGGTGGGGACAGAGCAGTTGTCTCAGGAAGTTTACAGAAGTGGCAGTCGGAGCTGGACTCTGCTTTTCCATGCTCCATCCAAATAAACCCCTTTTTGTTCAGCACAGTAGCTCTGAAACAGGCCAACTGCAGCAGACTGAGCAGGAGGCAATGAGCTGTGAAGACTGGATAATGATGCTACTCTAGAAGCCATAACACATCCAACCCAAGATTGCTTGGACTCGTGGGAAAGAAGTCAAAACCTGTCATTTTTGGCTACTCCTTGTAATGTCTGTGGCTTGTCAAAGTCAATTTACAGGGTCCCAAGCCCCAGCACCGTATCATGTAAGCAAGCTGTGTGTAGGCAGACAAGCCAACAGCAGCTTCTGCTAGCACACAGTGCCAGCTGCCAGCCTTGCATCCAGCTGACATCTCAGATAAAATCTACAGGACTCCTCAGTGAGACACACCTTCTACCATCCTTGGGCTCCTCAAACACAGGGTCTCCTTTGAATTTGCACTGATCTAACTTGATTGGAGACCACTGGAGACAGATACCAACTGTCAGGCTTATAGATGTGTTTTAAAATCACAATAAAAAAAGCAGAATTACTTCAGGTGTCAGTCCAAGCAATCCCATGACTACCAGCCCTGGCTGGTGGCCTTACATCCAGATGGTTTTGCTGAGGAATTCACCGGGAAGAGTTGATGTTGACAGGTGTCACTGTAGCAACATTCAGAGTTGGTGGGTTTCCCATCCTACTTTGGAAAGTGTGACATATTCACCAGCATCACTGCTCCCTGCAGTGCTGGAGTTACACTGCACTCCTGCCCAGGAGCCAAGGAGTGAGTGAGGAAACTGGGCTTCTGACATCTCCTGGCTAGCAGAAGCTGTGCTGTTAAATATAGCAAAGTCAAAATCTGTCTTAAATTTCAGCTTCCCATCTCCTCTGACTGTGTGGTCCTTGCGTGGGTTCAGAAGTCTCAGGGAGAAGCCAAGGTTCCTAGCATTATGTATATCTTGCTTTTTAGGTGGCATGTAGCAGTTGGCAGAGCTGCTCCTCTCCGTCACTTTTCCTTTCTTGAAAACTCTTTTCCTAAAAAAGTGAATATCTAGTAGTGACAGCAAGTGAGGTAGAGGAGATTTAACTAACATATTTAATTATGAAGGATATAGTTAAAACTGCTCTCTCACATTATAAGAGAATAAAGGGGTCACTGGATTAAGCTAATGGCCAGTGCATTTAAAAAAATTACAGGAGGTACTTCTTCATGTGGTGTGAAGTCAGTCTATGGAATTCATTACCACAGCAGTTCAGAGAGTCAAACACTGCAGACACATTGAAAAATGGGCTGGATAATTTTATAGCCAATAATAACATTTGTAGCTATAGCTGTTGGACACTGTCGGAGTAGCAGGTGGTGATATTCACAGTGCACAGTGATAGCAGCAGGAGCAGCCAAGCCAAGTGTTTCCCTCAGGAGAAAATGCTGTTCTTTCCTCTTACCCTGTGAGCCTGAGGTGTGCAGTGCACCAAGACCAGCCCACTCCTCCACCTAGCCTGAGGAAAGCAGTTCATTGTTGATGTTTGTTCTGGGGAAGGAAGGTCAGGCAAAAGCTCTGGCTGGGCTGGTAAAGTTTGGACCATTCTGAGAATGTGTGCTGGGCACAACTTCAGGGGACTGGTGAAAATTCATCTTCTATATGTAAACACGCCTTGGCAGGGGCTGACAGCACAACTCAGGCTCAGGATTTTGGTATGGCTCTTTCTGAGACTTGAACCAGCTGCTTCTGAGGAAAAACCAAGACATCCTGTGGTGTCCAGGTAAGCTCCCAGTTGGGGGATTTCTTCCAAATCTTCATCAAAGGTAAATAAGCTCCAGTTCCTCATCATAACAGACAAATTCTGTGTCCTTGGGAGGCAACTAGGATCATGCCACTGCCTCACTGATTGCCTAACATGTATGTCAAGCAGAATGCAGATAAAGATTTTTCCTATGTACTCTTATTCTTCCCTGCATTCAGTTTTCTTCTTTCAGTCCCTTCCACCCACACTGCTTTACTATCAGATTTACCCATGGCACTTGCCCATGTGCAAATCAAGTAAAATTTTTATTCCTGGGGAGAAGGAATTCTGAACTCCTATTGCCATGCAGACACAGAACCCAGTCACAAGATGGGAAAAAAAAAATTATGAGACTGGCTTGGTGAAAGAAGTGGGATCTTCCACTTTTTTTTATGGTTTCAACTCAACTCTCAGTAGTTTTTCAGTTTAGTTGTCATTTTTGCTGGTGTCCAGAGAAATCTTGCTTCTTGTTTTCTCTATCAAATAGGCCATAGGCAGACTTGCTTTACATACAGCATAAGCTGTAGTGATAGCTACTTATCAAAGTTTAAATCAGAAGCTGTGACTTTCAATTTGAGATAAAGGGCCCCATGTGGAGCCCAGCAGCTGAGAATCCATAATGTAGACAAAGAAGATGAAGTAATTGGAAGATACTTTAAATATTTAAAGCCTTTCAAATGCAAGAGGTTTGAAATGTCTTTCAATTAAGCCAATATCTCTGATTTTCATTGCACACAAAGGTCATGATTTTATCTCTGAAATGCTTTCTCTAGCAGTTTGACAAACTGAACTCTGCCAGGCCTACAGAATCGGGCGAGTATTTAATCTCAGTCAGATTTCTGCCTGATTAGAGAATGTTTTCAACCTCTGAAAAGCAACCAGCCTGTTTAAATGTATATAGAAACAGGACTTTTATGAAACAGTTCAGTGAGAAAGGATGGAGGGACACTTCCTATCCTTCCTTGCTCCTGTAATATTTCCATTTACAGAATGAAGGGATTTGCTCAACAACTCTCTTGCAATTGGTTGGTATAGCAAGGTGGAGGGAGTGGTTGGGTATTTGCATTGTTGGGGGGTTTCCATGTGAATTGTTCACCTCTTTCTTGTACCCTCTGTCACTGATATGGTAGCTGCTGTTCATTTTCTTTTCTTATTGCTAGACTTGTCTTCTTGCTGAAAACATCCTCAGTCAGTCTCACTCTGTCCCGTGTAAGATCACAGAAAAGATCTTCCTGAAAGCTTTCTCGGGGCATATTTATGATAGGGATTGGCATTAGAGAGCCAACAGGCCTGCACAAAGCTCAAATTGTGCCTGAACAACGCAATGGCTTTGTATGACTGTTTTGGAGGATGAGGGAAGAGCACCTGATGTCATCAGCCTTGGCTTCTGTAAGGCCTCTGACATGATCCTGTGTAATATCCTTCTTGCTAATTTGAGGACATATGGACTTGATGGATGGACTAATCAATAAACAAGGAATTAGCTGGATGGTAGCATCCAAAAAGATGCAGTTAGAAGCTCTGTGGAGATCAGTGTCCTTCAGGGACCTGTTCTGGAACCATTCTTGTTCAGTATCTTCATTGATGACAGAGTGGGATGGAGCACACCAGCAACATGTTTGCCAGTGACACTAAGCTGAGCAGGGCTCTTGATGTGCCCCAGGGAAAGGATGTGTCAGAAAAAAGAATGGGGCTAAAATTAGAGAAAACTGGGAAAAATCCTGAGGCTAAAATTATTGTCACATTCTATCAGAAGTTAACCCAGCATGGGAATTCTGTGGTGAAATGTGCTTGGCATGCATGGAATCCAAGTCATAGCAGGTTCCCACACAACTCAACCTACACCTTAAGCACATGCTAAGAGGGATGAAATGGAGGGTGGGATGGAATGAAGACACCGTAGCCAGACTCTGTGACAATCCCTGCAGGAATGGGAACTTGATGTTCCTAGGTGGGTGATAAACCACATAGCATCTGTCAGCCAAGGGAGAGAGGAAATGTCCTGCTGCTGAACCAGCATGTGGTGATGAAATCACTTTCCTCAGGAGAACTTTGTTCATTATAATCTCACAACTAACTCACACCTGCAGCCCATCTGCGAGGTTCGACCATCCCTCACCGGGAATGGGATCTTTTATTTTATTGACTGTCTCTCAGAGCCAAGAGAGAGAATTTTACACCAATCAGTAACAAAGGTAGGCATGACTAGAGTCACTCATGTCCATACCTGGGCTGTGCTGGCACTGGAAATAATTCTGTATAGGAATTATCTCATTGGTTTTTACTGGTCCTGCATTGCGGGGACAGAGAATCCTGTGAAGGCGCACCTTGCTATGCAGGACACCCTAAGGTCAGCAGTACCTTCTACTGTCTGGTTTGCTCTGTCTTTTTTTTCAGATACATCAGACCAGTGTCCCAAGTCCCTCAGAAGTCCATTGTAAACTGATCTCCAGCCACTGGACATTTGTCATCCGGCTTTTGCCAGTATCCAAAATTTTAAGGCGTAAAATCCTTCTCTGTGGTAAAAAAGGAGGCATTGTCTGTCAAGTCTGAGCATGTTGTCAACAGCAATGAGGATGTTCTCCATCTGAGTTGCCTAATATGAGCCCAAAGCAACAAATCAAGGGGGAATTTTGAGCTAAGTTAATAGATAATACAATGTGAACATTCAAGTAAGCACTCTTGCAGAATTGTGGCAAGTCAAGAATGTGGCTGCAATTAAAGGATTTTCAAGAAATTTTTCAGAAAGCTTAAAATATTGATTTATTTTAAATTTAAAAGGAAAACTACTGTCCCTCCTGGTAAGCAAGTATAAATTCATTATTTAAAATACTAAAATGTGAATATTACTAGTTAGGAGCTAATCCAGAAGTGTGTATAGCATTGAGAACTGATTTTAGTAAAGCTTTAAATAGAATTTAGCATATAACAATTGGAGCTTTTTCACATACTCTCTTATTTCTTTCTGTATAGCTGTGGATGGGTTTAGCTCTCTCTGAGCAAAGGGATCTATGGCCAAATTCTATGGAATTTGTCAGCAGGGTGAATCATTAGCTTTTCTGGCAAGAATTTTTTATCTTAGGTTAGAAAGCTGATCTCGGTTAAATGAGCTGAAACATATGCAAAGATAGATACGTGTGATTTTGAGAAGGAGACAATTTGATGTGGAAATTCCCATAACTTTACAAAATGTGAAATCAAGACAACCATTTCAGATAACACTGTTATAGTCTTCTCTTCCTGCTGAAAAATAGCAAATGTCTTAAGTGTTCACCATTCTGCAGAGCAGTGAATATAGCTGGTTCAGTATTCAGATTGAAAAGTCAAGTATTTTCCTATAAATGCATTTCTTTTCAACTAGATGCCATAACATACATGCTGATGCAGAATGTTCTACTTGATCAAAAATCTGTTTCTAAGTGTGTATTAATTTTTAATAATAAATACCAGTTCAGTCAAATTTCTAAATTAAATCTTTCAGAGGGAAAACAAAAATACTTCCTTTTTTTCTTAAGCAGTTTTCCTGTCTCGTCACACAATTTCTTGTTTTATTTTCAATGGGCAGAGCGCAGATTGTTCAACAGATGGAGACAAAAGTAGTAGGTCTACTGAATTCCTGGACGTCTTTGTTTATAGCCATTATTTGACTGAAATAATGTATGTCCTTCAGCAATAAACCATCAGAGAAACTGACTGTCTAGATTTAAGTGAGGAATGCTACTAAAAGTTTCAAAATTTGACTTCTTGAAACTCTTCCTTGATTTTCTATCTGACAGCTCATGGCATGATATCGTGTAGGAAAAGACTCTGTAAACTCAAGCTGTTCTCATTTGATCATATTGTTCTTTTCAGAGCAGTGCAATATGGATGTTTTAAAGCAAGTAAACAAGACATAATTGTTGCAAAAGCAAGAATAGGAGTTAATTTGTAAACAGGTTCCACCAGATCTGTTGCAAATTTTCTTTAAAAAGCAAGAAGCATCTGGACTCTACTTAAATACCCTGCTCAAGCAGGGTATTTAATTAAGGCAATCAGAAATTGTGAACATTTGAATGTGAATAAGGAAAATGGAGAAATCTGAAAGAAGCAGAGAGAAGGTGGCTGAGCCGGAGACTGGTAATATCATAGGAGGAGGAAGTTTCAAAGGAAATGACAATAAAGAGAAAGATAAAAAGTTTTGTAGTGAAATACTGGAATTCCTGAATGAAAAATGAATTTTAATGAACTGGAACAGGAGAAAACGGGAGTGATATGGAGGAGGCAGAAAGGGGGGTCAAGGGAGAGGTGTCTCCACAATCAAATATTTAGGTGCTCCATTTGTAATCATATTCAATTCCACAAGGCACATTTTCATATTTGAAAATAAAATATGCCAGCTGATTCTGAAATCATCTTTTCCTATTGAAATACACAGAGAAAAATAAGAAGACTGTCAAATGAGCTGAGTTGTAAAGAAATTCAATGGCCTATTTAAAAATGTACATTTTTCCTAGCTCAAAAAAAGAGAAAAATTCAAATGCCAAGTGTTTGAAGGACTACATTTCACAGTCTCAATTGCAGTGTGCAAAGGAGAGGCTTATGGATTTATCCAGAGAAGGACATCTGATGTATAAACCAGGTTGAGAATAATGGAGTAGGAAAGGACATAGACAAGAGTGCATGGACAAGGGGCTGAATGGGGCATATGTACAATCACCTCTTGCCTTTTGTCAGGCTTGCTGGGTACCCTCAGCACTGAAGTGGGTTTCCTGCTCTCTTGCTGCATGTGAGGGAGTTATTTCTTGGCCAACACTGACTCTTGAAAGACAATTCTCCGCTCTCTGTCTTGCTTGAACTATTCTGTGAAGATTTTGCATTGTTATTCTTAAAGACTGGGCAGAGCTGTTGCTTTAGGTTTTTTCTTCATCGCTTTTCTGTCTTATCCTTTTTACTGCAATTTTTATGGCTCATACCTCTATCAGCAATTTTCTGGCTCCAGCCTGTTGTCCTGCAGCCTTTTGAAAACACAATGGCACAATCATATGTGATTATATATTAGGAGAATATTAACAGCTGAAATCCCCTCTTCTGATAGATAGGAATCAGCTTGGTAGGAGTTTTGATTGGAATCAGTGCAAATGTGATGGGGAATCTATCAAGGCTTCACACCCTCACTTCACAGCTGTTTAGATTCCAGGCATGTGAATTGGCAGCATAAACTTCATGAAATTCAGCAGAGAAAAATGCAGCCTCCATTTGGAACAGAACCAGGATAGGCTGGGAGCTAGCTGGGAAGCAGTTCTGCAGAGACTCGGGTTCCAGTGAAAACCAAGTGGAACACGAGCCAGCAGTGTACACTCACAGTGGTAAAAACCAACTGTACACTCCAATCTGGGTCATATTTTGGACAAGGAAACCACAGAGGAGTAGGCTTTATTCCATCTGGCAAAGAGAATGCTGGTAGAAAGGAAAGTTAACTGCATCTGCCACTTCAAAAGGACACGACACAGCCAGAGCAATGCTCATCACGGGGAAGCCAACAGGTGCCTCTGCAACATAGGAAACAGATGGGCCAGGAAGAAATCACTCTTCTGCAAGAGAGTGGCACAGATGCGGGATGTGGCCCAGAGAGGTGGTAACATCTCCATCAACAGGGTCTTTATCTTATGCTTATATTCAAAGCATTTCAGAGAGCAGTACACTCTGTATTTTGTGCCTGGTGTCTTAAAAAGTGCATGTGTAGGATTGAGAATTTAAAAAAAAAAAAAGTGCTCTTATTTTCATCCTTATTTACAAATCTGCATAGGTATAAAATAGTAATTTTCAATTTCCATTTTTTGACCCCATTCCTGCAGAATCCTGATCCAATTTCTTGTCTTGCCCATTCTCTCCTGCTGCAGAGCTCACCCTGTGCACAGTCACATGTTTTCCCTCCTCAGTGTCCCTTTTTAACTGTTTTGCTAATCCCTCTGAGGGATTAAATTGGCCAAGGGAAACTATCCCTCACAACTTTGTTAATCTAAACTTCTCCTTTGATTGAAATAAATCTGCGTTTCCTTCTGTCATATTTCTGACTTCCATTTAGACACATCTTTTGCCTCTGAATGGGGAGAATGCTGTAAATTCCTGCAGAAATCTCCAAAATGCTGTATTATGCCATGAACTGTGAGATCCTGCAAATTGTCCTGGGTACTGACCAGGAGTTGTTAATTTTTCTGGCCTTGGCAGTGGTGAGTGTGACAGTCTAATGACAAGGGACCTGCCCTGCCAGTAGTTAAGCATCCCTAACCCAGTTGAAGGCAGTGGCTTCTGGGAGGTCACTGGACCCAGTGCACTGCTGCAAGTGTTCCATCAAAACTGTTTGTGCTCCCAGTGTCAGGGCATGGCTTTGCTCAGGGATTCCTGGCTTAATTCCAGTGGATACACGAGTTTATTGTAGAGAACAGACCTCTGAGAAAAATTTGAATTGGTAGCTGTACGTCTGTGAAATGCATATTTTCCTGCCCATAGCAGTATGTGCCCATGAAACTTTGTGCTATAAGGAATGGTTGTCCTTCCTTCTGTGGCCACATGCACATTTCTCTACTGAGTCACAGAGATTACTAACAGCTGAAGACATTATGCTTGGTCTTTGCACCCAAAACTGTGCTGTTAAATATACACAAGAGACATGAGTGACAAAAAAACATTTTTCATGTAAAACATCAAAGCTTTTGAACTGTTTTTGGAAACCAACTTGAGCTCTCAGCTTTGCAGATCCACTCCTCATAGCTGGCATGTTGTTTTGAAAGCAGAAAATTGAGAGTATGGTTAAACCTCTGCTGCTACTATGAAGTTATGTAGCCTCCCATTAGTTCTCATGAAGATTAAAATAATCTGCCTGAAGATAAACAACCAACCATGACATTTAGAAGGTTCTCAGTTCCAGTTGACTTTGTTATTCCCTACGGTCAATAAAATCACTATTGACTTTCATTACATGGAAGAGTGCTTGTTTTATGACAAATAATTTATTGTCTTAATACTGTAAAGATGTACTGCCAGAAGACTTTGCAGTTTTCTTTCCAAAAGGTGACATTTACACAAGGGAAATGACTCACTTCAGCAAGATTTATAGAACTCTTTAGAGCTCTATTCTCCAGTGCTAATTACAGCACAATGCATGGCAAACAAGCAGGACAACCAACAATCATAGGAATATGAGTTAGACTTAGATACATGCACGTACTTTTAAGTGCTCTCTTCAGAGTCAAAGAGGGTATTATTCAGCTCTTTCTGGGCAGAGCTGCTGGAAGCATGGAGAGTTGTCATTAGGCTGCCAACAAGCCATCTGTTCCACCGTTTAAGCCAGAGAAGAAATGGTGCAATGTATCTGAAGCCTTACAACATATATGATGGCTCTGGGATCTCTCTTCGGTCCCTTTAATAATTTCATTTACATTTTGGATCTGAGTGGTCATGCTGTTCCTTCCTCAGGTGGTTCTGCACATCCTATGACTTGAGATGTTTAGCAGACATCTTGTTAACCCAAAGTCCAGAAATTCTAATTGGTCTGTCCACTGGGCCAAGCTGTGAGAGACAAAGCATTGAGTGTAGCAGGAAGAACAAATAAATGGCTGCATGTTTTCTCTTCCCTCCTGACTTCTTCTGGCTTTGTAATTCTGCTGAGTTTGACACTGAGTTCACATGTGGTGAGCAAAAGATAATTGAAGGCAATTTACTTATATGAAGGCATATATTGTCTTTTGTTGTGAAAACCTCTTAAAACTCAGCTACAAAAGCATCCTGCATCCAAATATTCCTGTGAAGGGAACCCAGAGCAGAAGATCCTACATATTCACATACCGCTGGAGAGCTGTGAGCCATGGAAGAGTTTGTGGTCACAAGGACCAGGCACACAATCCTGGGTCCTGAGGATGCCCAGAAGAGAGGTGTCTAAGAGCTGCTCAGAGGATCAAAAATAAGATTCTAGGCATTATAGGTAATGTGAGGTCTGTTCTCAGGAGAGGGTAATTAACTGCACGGCTGGACAATTTGGGGAAAATAAGTGAGGAAGAAAGTCTGTGGAACAAACTTTGTGAGTAAACTACATAAAGTGGTTTTTAAAGGAATTGTTGTGTTGATAAATGAGTGATGCAATTGTCAGATACTTAATTTCCAGGGAAAGTTAAATAAATTTCCAAAGAAGGAGCCTTCTGTGAAATACCCAATGTTATACTTTAGCAGGGAATACCTACGCCGACTTTCACAAAGAAAATGCATAACAAATTAAAAGATGGGTGAGGCATAAAGACACACAGAACTAAACTGAAAATCCTTTCCTCAGAATGCACATTCCAGAGAATTCAAGTAATATATTATGGCCATGAATCATCATGGTGCCCAGCTCTGTGTAAGACGTAAGAGCAGATCCAATGTCATCACTCCTGTGTCTGCTGGTGGTGCTGGTCTTGGTTGTTGGTTTTCTTCACAGTAGCTACTCTGGGGCTGTTTTGGATTGGTGCTGGAAACAGTGTTGATAGCACAGTGATGCTTTCATTATTTCTGAGCAGCATTTACACAGCATCAAGGTCTTTTCTGCCTCTCACAGCATCCCACCAGTGAGTAGGCTGAGATGGCTGAGGATTTGGGAGGGGACACAGCCAGAACACCTCACTTTAGTTGACCACAGGGATATTCCATTGAAAGCTGGGGGAAGAAGAAGGAACTCCATAATTTTGTGCTGAAATTATACAAGTTCTGTGTCTCAGGTCACATATTGAGGAGATTAAATATAGTTATTAACTCAAGTGTAGGCTCCCCTTTTGACAGTTTGAGACAAAGCCTACTGAATTTAGACATTCCCATATATTAAAGGTCATATTCAAGTCCTCTCAGGGTTTTTAATGAGTCAGAATGTAGAAGATTAATTCATTTCCCATTATAAGCACAGAAACAAGAAGGTCTGATATGTGATAAATTAACAGATTTTTGCAGCCTTAAAGGTTTCTTTCCCAGCAAAGTTCTAACTCCACAAGTAAACAAAGCAATGCCTCTCGCATGCACATTTTTCTCTCACCCAAAATAAATAAGAATGCTTACATTTTTATTGCAATGTCTTCATTCATATGACTTTCTTAATGAATGGCAATTGAGCACCTGCTTGTGGCTCAAAACATTGCTGAGATCCTTCAGTGAAATTATTGAGATGAATCACCATTGTCGATGCTTTCTGAATGAGACAAATCTCCAACTAATCTTCTAGCTGCAATCCAAATGTAATGGGCTTATGGATCATAAATCTTCTGCAGGGAAATATGCCTCCATTCTGTATCAGCCAACAAACAAAGGTGTTATTCATATTTTCCACTGCCGTGCCTACAATGGAAGATAAAGGGGAGTGAGAAATTGGACTGAATAGAAAAGGCACTGTGCATGTTTGAATTCAAATTGATTTCAGGAATGTGACTGTTATTTACATGTGATAGAAAAAATTAGGCACAGCACATGCACTATGCAAGCTCTTCAAGTCAATGTTGTAATGTGTTTAGAGCACATTCTGGAAATTATCTAAGTTATGAATATCAGTCCCAGAAAACTGTAATACAATGGCCATAAATGCATCTTAACTGGAAATATGGAGCAAGCAGTAAATATCTTGGGCCATAATAAACTAATGGTGTCAGTGTGAGTGAAGAATTGTAGCCAGAGACCAGACAAATTGAGCCTCATCATGCTCTAAATGTCCTTGGAGCAACAAATAAATTGCATTTAACTGCTCTTTAGTCCAAAGTCATAAACATTAGTTGGACACATTATATGGATGAGGAACACCAGAGGCAAAGAGCTGTGGCTGTTTTCTCTGAATATTGGTTTTGTTCCACATTTTTTTTTTAATATCAATGTGCCTCTTTTCCCTAACACAATTCCAGAAAGCTGTTTGGTCCATGATATATTTTCTGATGTGATCCCAAATTCCTTTTCTGAATACTGGCTAGCTTCAAATTCTCCAGAGGGCTTACTTATATTTAGCTTTCTTTCACAAATTATGCCTGTAGGGAGTCAGTTGAGGTAATCAAATATCTGTGCAAGAGCTAAAGCAGTGGGTAGTGTCTGTGGTGGAAGCAAAAACCAAGAATTTAGAAAGGGTTCACAGTTTGTGTATAGGGACCAGGAAGAGCTGGAGCTGTGAGAGCTTCTGGACAGAGCTTGAGGATAGGCAGCACAATCTTATAGTCCAAATCCTGACTCAATACCTGCAAGGAACAATGTGTAACTTCCTCTGAATCTCATGTCTAATTAAATTTAAAGCAAAAAATGGGTGTTTTGATAAATGGGTGTTTTGTAAAATAATTTTTAATATCTGGAAGACATTTTAAGAGGTAGTCATGTGGTAAAGAACCCGATCATTTGTGGGTATGCAAGAATGACAAAATAAAATACCTCCTTTAATTCTGAACTGCTTTTGAGAATGAATAAAAATCTTTCAAACCTTGTATATATATGCATAATCTTCAAGGTTAATTGTTGGTTTCTCTCTACTAATTGATCAACAAAGCTGCAGAATGAAAAACGTGGACCAGGAATTAAAGTAGAAACAAATAATCTTGCTTGTTTTCTCTTAATTTGGAGACTACCACAATGCAATGCTAATGTAATACTTTTCAGTGAAAATTACATGCTATTGGAGCCAAGCCATTTAGATTGCTGCATACTTTTAAATTCTGTGAATGCTATCCAAACATTTTTCTTACATCTTGAAAATAATGAATAGTATTTATGTGCAGGCATATGAATATGTTTAATACACTTAATACTAGTACAAATTTCCAAATACTCTTGGACACAAGGTGTGATTTTTTTGGGTTGTCATGTTCAGAGTCAGGAGATAGCCTTGATGATCCTTGCAGGTCCACTGTGACTCAGGATATCCATCCTATGAGGCTATGAAAATTTGTGGTGCCACTAGCTTCAGACAACAGCCACTTGTGTGATGTTCCAGACCACCCCTTGTTTGCTTTCCATTTAAAAGAGAACTGGAGTGATCTTTGATGCTGCCTTAAAGGATGCCAGTGAAGTGAATTAATCAAAGTGAGATAAGAGTGAACTGTACAAAATCTCTCCACATGTAAAGAAAAAGGAAAAAGAAAATGAGGAAAGGTCAAAATCCTTTTGACTACTTTTTTGCATTATGGATCTTTTCACCTTTTTACTTTTTTATTTTCCATCTTCTTTTCTGCTACTGTAATTAAGAGCTAAAAATATTTTTTGTGATGCTGTTTCCATGGAGGTTGCAGTACCTTGAAATACCTCTTGGTCACAGTGCACTGTCTAATGACGAGAGAACAAAACTTTGGTTTACATCTTACGTGTAATCTTTTCTCTTGCATAGAGGCAGAAACCTGCATGGGACCAGGGAAGAGGTGAAAGCTTTGGGCTCTTATATTTCATCCACCTGTGTCATTTTGATGGAAGGGGATGGCCATGCAATAGCCAGGGTGATGCTGGGTAGGTTGTTTTAGTTAAATCTCTTCCCAGATTAGCGGAGATGTGCACAGAAAAAAACATGTCCTGTTCCCTTCCCTTGAACAGTGCATCACCCAGTGAACCCTACTCAGACCCAAGCACAAGATATGAATTTAGAGAAGAAAAATCCTCCTTTTTGTCCTCACAGCAGGTATCCCTATAAAATTTTACTCAATGGAGACAACCCAGCACCAATGTTCTGATAATTAAAACCCCAAAAGACTTAGCTAGTGACTGGGGGCAGGGTGGGAGAGAGGGTGCAGGAATTTAGTAAGGTTTAACAGAGAATTTGGAATGGCCAGTAAATATCATTTATCATCATTACAGGCTATTACAATTTGCTCAGCCTTACACTATCCAGAGCTGGGTTTCAAAAGAGGTGAAGTGACATCTATCAAGGGGACCTCATTAATGCAAGTAACAGGTACAGAGAAAGCAACAAAAGGCACTTTGTCACATGCAAGGAGGTGAAAGGTCTGAAGATTATGAAGAATGCATAGCAATATTCCTTCTGTATTACCTGCTTGTACCTTCTGTGTAACTGAAACAATGTTCTCTTGTATGTAGGGGGATAAATTCCAAGTGCAAGCTTGCTCAAATGGATTTGCATTCTGAGCTGTGGGATTAATTGAATCTGTCTTTATGGAGTATATCAATGCTCTTAAATTGATATTAAATGGTAGAGACCCTACCAGCAGATCTTTCCATGGTGATCACTGCAAGGTATTTAAGGAAGAAAACATGACATGGGAATCTCTATCTGCCATTATTACAGTTGCCTTAGTCATATAGAGAGAATGGAATTACATGCATTGAATTATGCTTTTAAGGATTAAACCAAGCTGAGGGGCCCTATTCTGAGGCACAGCTGAGCACCCACATTCACCAGTTGAAGATAAAGGCTGAACCAGCCCAGAATCCAGCAGAGACTGCTGAGGATTAGGTCCCAGAAGTAGGTCGTCTCACAGACAGCAGTCAGACTCTTGTGAGCTTCCCACTCACAGTGCATCCTCACTGGCAAATCCTATGTATGAACAGTGCTTTTGGCTCTGTTCTTCCCACAGCAGGCTACTCTGTCATTGCAGAGAATAAAAACAAATAGTCTGAGACAAATGCCCCAGCAGACAGCTCATGGTGACAGTGGTTTTCATTGTGGTGTGCTGAACAAACCAACTTTATTAACAGCAGTTTACTTTTTAAAACTACTTCAAAGGGTTGCTTTCTCGTGTTATTATATGCATTGTCAAAAGAACAATGAAGAATCTTGGAGACAGCTTTCTGATTCTGTTCTCTTAATGTTGTTTGACATGTTTGAGCTTTGCTGTCTTTAATCTGACAGACATTTATAGGCGATCTAAAAACCATAAGATGGGTACATCATATTACAATCTGTTTACTGAAGGAAAACTGCCCAAAAGTGATGATTTTGATACAACTTACCCTAAAAATACACATGGTATTCCCTTCTCTGTAAAAATACAAAGAGGAATATGTGAGTTGTATCTGTTTGTCTGAATTTTGCCTAGCAACTTTTAACCATGATTTTGAAAACCTAAGACTGCTCTGTTTTTTCCTAAAGTTCTTTCTGTTTTCTTTGGTTGTTGTTTTCTTTTTTAAGCTTATGTAAAGGAAACAGAATCCAAACTAGGAAATAAATTTGTGGTGATGAGGCAGGTCCAGCATGAAGCCAGTGTGTCCATGCAGAACTCAGGGTGCGGATGAACAGGTGAGGTTGCCCATGGACTTCAAGGACTGTCAGTGCACGCACTGCTGACTGCTTCCTCCAAAGAGCACTCCAAAGAAGAATCATCTCACAATCAAGGACAAGAATATATTTCAGTGAAACTCAGAGCCATAAACAAAATCCATCAAACAGCACCTAGCACCTGATCAATGCAGACTCTTATAAAAGGGTGTATCAGGATGTAATTGTAATTTTAATATTAGTCCCATTCTCTATAAGTACTTCTATCAAATATGTATTTACAAAGAGGGAAGGTAATTTCTCAAATGCCATATATGACAATCCTTTCTTCACTTTGTCTCAATCAGTCCTGTTAATGATCCTTGCTGAAAGGAACATGGAATTATATTTTTTTCTGTGGGTGAAACAAATAGTGACAATTAATGTTGTTTAATTTTTAGTGGATTTTCAGTTCTCATTATGCTTTCTTTGGGTTTACTTGTGTTTCATGGAATGCTGGGTTTGGAGTTTATTTTGTTGATGTAGAGCAGTGAATAAAGACAACTTCTGCAGCAGTATTTCATGGAAAATTTAGCATTGCCTGGTGGGACAGTGGTTTGAAGGGTTTGAAAGATGTTTCCACACTCTGAGAAAATTATGATTCTTTATGTTTTGTCTCACAGAGGGTGAAATTATACCAATATTGTTTTCTCTTTAGATAACCAAAATTACTCAAACCATTGAGTAACATCTCAAGCCAGCTGCTTAAGTAAGGTAGCAATGGAATGTAGATAACAACCAGGGATTAGCATTGCTCCTAGAAAACGGTAGGGATTGCAAACAGAGCCCAAAATAATTGCTCTTTGTTCAAATCCTGACATGTTTTGTGAGATGCAGAAAGCTGTACCCAATCTTGCTTCTCAGGGTGGGCCATCTGTGTCCCTTTCCAGGCAGGGATGTTGCACTAATGAACAGATTTGTAGCATGTTATTACAAAGTGCTCAGCATGAACAATATATGACTCTTTCTGCTTGCAGTTAATTTTTAAAATTGACCTGGAAGATGACATTCTTGATGGTGTAATCTGAAGTTGCTCCAAGCTTTGGTCACATGAGAGTCAATTAAATAATCCTGCTTTAGGCAGTGTTAAATTACCCTGATTGTGAGTGGGGCCATGATATCACATGCCTTACAGCTGCTCAGTACCGTGGGTACACTGGTGACTGTGCTGGCATGTGGAAGAACCTGGCCACCCACTGTCCCACAGGGTGGAAGCTTGATAAGGAACATGGAGAGAGAAAGAAGAGCTGGGTGTGAGTTGTGATGTGTGAGATGAGGAGTGAGAAGTGAGATGTGTCATGTGAGCTTGGTGTGAGAGGTGAGGAATCAGCTGGAGAGCCTGGAGTTCTGCCTGGAGATGGATGAGGAGCCAACAGAGAACTTATGGGATAGGATTAAAGAGAAGATATGTAAATGTGACTTTATAGTGAATGTTGCCTGTAGGCCACCTGAAAGAAAGAACAAGTGGATGAGGTTTTCTAAAGGTAGGCAAAGCACAAATTCAGTGAAGACAGAAATTATGACGTTTTTTGTTAAAAAAAGACACATACATGCAGGACACAGGCACTTTGCATCACAGTAGGCTGCATGACACAGCAGGTTTAGCACCCATTAGGCTTCTACGGAATGGAAGAATGTTCTCATTTCTAAATGAGGAAATGGATAATCCAGGTAGATTTCCAGTCTGGTGGGGAAAGGTGTGCTTTATCCCCCACAGTCTTTCCCTCTGCCCCTGCCTAATTACAGGCAGCTACTTGAATGCACACAGATGTTATAGCTCCTCCAAGAAAAGACACAAACTCAACCTGAATTCCATCCCTTTGTGACTAGCCCAGCCTCCAAGGCTGAGGTTTAAAGAAGAAATTGATTGTGATGCACATGAATTGCAGTAAAAATTTCAACTCACTCAACATCATTGAGAGCAGGATTTTCTTAAGGGATGCTGAGGACCAGATGCTCCCTAAAATCTGTGTTTATAATTACAGAAAAATAACAAGCAGGATGCAGCAGGGAGGGGGTTTAAGAGTGACCCTAAATCAAAAGCAGGCATTGCTATCCACTACCAAATTCAGTGACACTAAAGCCCCTCTACTGATGTAGAAGGTAGCATGGAAATTATACATGAATTCTGCCTGTAGACAACGGACATATTTTATGGATTACAGTACAGGACTTTGCATGAAGAGTTTTTTCCCCTGAGGGAAAAAAGGGGACAAAGTGCATACAACTGTGTATTGTCTGTATCATAGTGAAGATATATCTCTGCAGAAAAATATTGAGAAGGTTCAAACTATATCAGCATTTTCTGTAAACCTGTTGCTATTTTTTATAGTATCCATTCATTTACAGAACTACCTATCTTGAGATATGCTGCACAATGTTATACAAGATGAAATGATTGCTGGGCTCATCATACAATGGAAGAAGTCTTCTAGTAACGAAAGAGTTCTGGTAAAGACTGAAATAAAGAGATAAAAGTTGATAAAGTGTTAAGATGTCTATATGAAGATATGTTTGATTTTTCCTCAAAGAACAGGAATACATATTGCATTTTCCATGGAAACTGAGTACAGGATCACTCTGTCACTCTAAAACCTCATCTGAAGAACTTTTCCAAATGCAGCAGATTTGTAAGCAATTTATAAGTAAATTCAATGTCCTTTTGTTTTTTTTTTTTTTAAATTTTGTTTCAAATCTTATCTTGGTATAAACATCACTGACACTTGGAATCATTCTGCATTATTAATAATGTAGTCTAGGAATCTAAATCGACCACAAAAAGCTCCTATTCAGGTCTACAAGTGCCTCATCAGCCTTGTTTGTTAAAAATGAATATATTTTTAATTTTATAAGGAAAATGGCCATATTTTCATAATTAATTATTCTTGCCATGAACAAGCCATTAATGTAAAACAGGATGCAAACTACCTAAGGAAATACTCACTTACGTGCATACACAAATACGTGTTTGATGACACAGTGCTAGAAATGTTCCTTGGTACTTAGCAAATTATTGTCAAAGGAAATTTGTTTCTTCATTCTCACTTTCCCACCTTGGAATGTAGCTCAAGGTTTGAGAATGTATTGGTTTTTGCTGAGAGAACATTTAAATTGTTTAAATCAAATAATGTGTCTTACATGATCTGAAGCACGCGCTCAGCTTTCATGGCATCTCTGGTAAACTTGACATCTTGATTTTTGGGACTCTTTCAGAGAAACTTCAGCTTCCCTGGGGAAAGATGCAGAATCAAAGTTTGGTTCCAGCTGTCATGTAGCTTATTGAAAACCAGGAATTTATTTCAGTGTAAAAATAAAGTAAACTAGGCCAGAGTCAGGTCTCAAGTGTTTCCCTTGGCTCATGTTGGTTGGGAGGCACCAGGAGGCGAGGTAAATTGAACTTTCTTCAGGAAAGAATCTGTAAGGGTGTGAAGTTTTGGCTGGGATAGCATTAATGCTCTTCACAGTAGCTGGTATGGGTCTGTGTGTTCATTTGTGCTGAAAACACATGGCTTCCCTGTCCATGAAAGCAGTAAATGCATTCCTTGTCTTTGCTTGCATGCATGGCTTTTGCTGTACCCACTAAAATGTCTTTATCTCAATACAAAAGTTTTTCCACTTTTATCTTTTAATTTTCTCCCGTGTCCCAGTGCAGGGGGAGGAGGACAGAGCAAACAGCTCTGTGGTCCTCGGTTGCTGGCTGGGCTTAAACCATGACACAGAGCAAAGCAAACTTTAAGCTTGTACTAGTTGAGTTAAGGATCAGATCCATTCATTAAATAACAATCCAGTCACAGAACAGCAATTAAATACTCTGTGGCTTTAGGCTGGAGCTATATGAAAATTTTCACATAGAAAAGGCCTTTTCAGAAATTTTGCCCTTTCCAAAAAATGGATGGAAAATTCAGCTTCTGAAGTTGCCCAAGAGATTTTTTGCCTTAATTTCTCTTTGAATAATGCAAAGAACACTTTACTGACCAGGTTAGGTCTTGATCTTTCATTCTTCAGGCTTGTTCAAAAAAATGTCCTGTTTGAAAGAGGAAACTTTTTCTGTCCATGGAAATTCAGAAGATGAAAAGGCAACATCCCTGTTTTTCAAACACTCTTTATGAATGCTGATTTCAGGCTAACCTTTTCCATCCCTGATTTCTACAACTTTGTGAAAACTGTCATGAAGTTATTTCAATGCTCAGACAGATTTAGTAAAATAAACTGCCCAGCTTTGAGCACTGCCTTGCAGAACTAAAGGTGAAATCAATAGGGAATTAAAGCTCTCTAGCAGTGTGATGAAATTTAGGAATCTCTTCAGCTGAAGATAAGATACGATACATTTCACCTTGGGGAGCTTGTTAGCATTAATTTTTCTGTATTAAACGCTTGTAAGCATTAAGAAATTTTGATACTATTAAATGTACTTAATGTACTAAAAGTTTCCTCACATGGAAAATAGCAGAAACCCTATTTTGCACTGTAACCTGCAGCTTTTTTTACAGTAGCATATGATGTAAAGTGATATACGCAGTATAAGATGACCAGATTTTAACCATTTAATACATGGGATTTCCCACACATGTACAGAGCAAGGTGGGGCTATTGCAGGGTTGCATCCAGAGGTACTGCTGTGGATGGGAAGAATGTAATTTCAAGAGGAACAAAGGACCAACTGTGATGGCATAACCAGCAGGCAAAATATACCAGAATACACACCTGAAGGGTTGCAGGGAATTCCTTTTCCATTGTGTTCTCAGCCCAGTCTTCTCCTGTCTAACACTTCTGTCTTTCACTTGCTTACCCCTGGCAAACCATAAACAATTGCTTAGACCTGAAGGCCCATTTTATAATGCAATACAAGGATATTTTCTGTCATCTATGTGGGTGCCCTATGGCACTTAGTTAAACTCTGCCTTTCAGTGGGTCTGAGGAGGGCTTAGGAAGGTCTAATGTTTTGGCTGGCATTTCAGTATTCACTTTTGTATTTCAGAAATGTTTTTTTTTTTCTCCACTGTGTCTGTATCAAATGCCAAATTTCACTGCTTAGTCCAGAAGGATTGATTTCACACTACAATCACTGTCTGCTGATTAAATCCATCCATCTTCAGAGAGAGCAGAAAAGCTCAGATGAGTTCAGGCCCTAGACAGAATGAAGCCATGGCCTGCCTCAAGATTGTAAATTCAAAATGCCTTCATTTCTTTTGAGGGATACTGTGACAGGTTAACTCTGCCAGATGCTTGCACTCTGGGAGGCAAGAGCTGAAGTCACAGTCAGCAGTGAGAAGCAAATCACTTTCACATCTTTTCCCATATTAGGCCATTCAAAGGAGGTGCTTTTTCCTTGGTTTGAAGTAATTACTGCACGCAAATGGGTCTGTAGGAAGGAATGGCCAAACAACTGATAGGAGATTCCTGATCAATGGAGCAAAGAGGACCCCAGCAAAAGCTGTACAGGGTTTTAACAGAGAGGATGGTGTGTCACAGTCCCAGTTTTTAGGGAGACATGAGTACATTTTGTCTAATTATGTTAATAGCCTAAACTAATGCACATAGGCAAAAGGTTTTTTTTCTGCAAGAATCTACCTTAGACAAAGGAAACAAGGTGTTTTCCACTCTAAACACAGACAGATCAAATCTTCTGTGTTCCTTCTAGGACACTTGCTAGCACAACAGAAGACCTAGAATTCCCCAGCACATGTTAGCAAGGTCTACACACATAATAGGTCCCACCAGCTCACCCTATGACACATCTGAAGCAAGAAATACAAATAGAAAATCAAATAGCTATAAGTGCCTGTGGGTTGACACTTTAGTTGCTATTTCTTGAATGGAAGCATTAATTTAACAAGAGCCCCAAGCAGAAAATCAGCAATTTACCAGAAGTGTATATCATCTCGCATGGAAAAGAAAGCTTATAGTCCCAGGTAGAGACAATGAAAAATCTGAAAACCAGAATTGTCCTTAATGTGTTTTTATCTTTCTAAAGATATGGCAAATAACACAGGTATCTATTTCCTAAAATCCAGGGCCAAAGATTAGGGAATTTTTCTTACATCTTCCTTTCCAAATGAGAAGAATAATCTGTTAAACATTTGACCTTTGGGAATGAGTTGTTGTTGCTGTCCATTCAATAGATCTATGCAGAAATGTTCTTTTAGAATTTAACACAACTGGATCCAGCTGTCCAAGGCATTAATACACAAACAAGAGAATGCCAAGGACTCTGGAGGAGAAAACAGTTAATTTTCCATTCATCAGCTTTTGCTCAGTAAAAACTGTAATAGACATTGTTTAAAATCTGGCAGTTTTAAAGATCCTACAATATCTGATCTTATAGGAGAAATCAATTATAAAAACTCAATTTAAGGAAGCAATTATTAAAACTCTACTTACCACAATGCAATTCATTGCAAGTGTATCTCCCTCCTTTGCCTGTAATTATAGCTAATGATCAGGGACAGAGTGGCTGATAATGTACTTTCTGTCCTTTCTCTTTTTGGACTATTTCCACCAGGAAAAAAAAAAAATTGTTTTACTTTCAAAGATGATATTGTGACAATGGATTAAACATCAATTCCCATTTCCCGATATGTTTTGTCTCTTTTCTATTTAATGTTTAAGAAATTTTGTTATGGAATATGTGAGAAAGCTAAAAGAACACATTTTAACTCCTTCATATCCATCTGTTTAATCAGCTAACTATTAATAATTTCCTTTCTCTTTTAGTCTGACAGCAGTTCCCCAAAATTACTTCTTCTGTGTTTTCTCCCTTGTTTTGAATTTGGTGACAACTTCAAAAACATCTGGAGAGCTCCAGGTTTGTGCTCAATGAGTCTTGTGCTGAAACTGTGTGAGCAAGATAGTTTTCTTAGTGACATGAGAGCAACTGTGTCCCCTCTTCATGGCATGGCAAGAGAGAGCCTTTTCTTGTATAAGAGAAGGCTGGTTGAAAATCCACATATCTCCACTAGGAGGCTTTTGTGTTTTTTGGCTAAAAAGTTATTTTAAAAAGTTATTTCTGCAGTTATTTCTTACAGTTAGGTAACCTGTCTTGTCCTACACTGAGTGGGTTCTGTAGGACAAGCTTTTTTGCACAAATGTTAGCATGACAAGACAGGCTGGAGAGATATCAATATGCAATGCTTACCTTTGTTTTCCAAACATAACACACTGCAAATGCAAGACTTGTGGCATATTTCAAAACAAGCAAGTTGAAAAAACACACACAAGTAAATATGAGCTCTTTTGATAGGCTTCTCTTTGTTGAGACACAATTTCAGCATTTTTATACATCTGCAAAGTAACACAATATACATTATTCCCTTTTTTTTTAATCAGACCTGAGACTGTCATGTAAACATATGATCTCAGTAGAAACAAGCAAGCAAGCAAGCAAGCAAACACACAAACAAACAAACACAACCAGCTGAAAAAGACAGAGCTAACAATACCAGGTACCATAAAACTTGAGAGCAAGGAAAATCCAACTCCCTTGACCTTAATATACTCTCTCCTTGGAAACACTGTGTGTGTGAATGCCTGTGTGCACAGATGCACACCAATTTGCACAAGGAAATGTGTTTAGGTGCTTGAACAACTGCAGTATTTGTCCTACAAGTATGCAATCTCCAGTCTGAAAGCTGAGGAATATCATCATGTTGGTCAAGCTGAAGTTGAACTGCTCTTGCATATTTGTGGGTGAGGAAGCTGAAGGAGACAGAGCTTAGTTACCTCCAGACACAAAATTCGCTGCCATTTCAGACAGAGGCATAAAATTGCCAAGCACAGGAAATGCATACATCAAAGCAGAGCCAAATAAGGCCTTTGTGGAAGTCAAAAGTTCCCCTGGACTGTGAAGCCTTGAGTTTTGCTCATTGCTTGTGAGGAGGAGATCTCCAGGGGCTAAACACACAGCTGGAGTAGGATGGGGGCAGTGGGTGGGAGCAGAGAATACTTTGGGCACCAAACAGAGCCAGGAGTGTTTGTGCAGCCAGTGTGCCCTGGGAAAGGGTCCTCAGAGGAGCTCTGAAAAGCCACCTCTGGATTGCAAATGCTAAAGACTTAGGGAAAGGGAGATCTCAGCCCAAAACTTCAGCAGAGGAGAGGGGAAGATGCCAGGAAATATGTCCCTGTTTTTTTCTGAACTCACAGAAGTTTTGCATATGCACAATTTCTTTTTCTCCTCTCTCTCCTGCCTCCACCTCTAAGCACAGAGCAATTCAACATTTTTAGCTTCCTTTAAGTACAAAACCCAGTTAAAATTTTGGCTTCTTCTGTGACCTTCTATTTTCTAAGTAAAGAACAGAGAATGCAGGGAGATTCTTCTTTCCACCAAAACTACATTTTTTGCTTCAAACGGAAAAGTGTCAGAAAGAAACAAATTAATGGATTATTTTTCAACATATTGAACATCCTAAATTAGTTTTAATCTATGGGCAAACTTTTCTTATTTTAACTTTGAATTGCCCTTCCACATTGACAAAACATAACCAGCCTCAGGTTAAAATGGCCAAAGAGCTCAAGGCTTGATCAGTTCATCTCCAGATACTGACAATGTCAGATTAATTATCTTCAAACTAATAGATGAAATGAGTTCAATAACATTTACTGTACCATTCAGGCATTGCTCATTCTTCATCAATTTCTCCTTGCCACCTGAATTGCAATTGCTGCTTGGCTAATAAATGAAGAAGTTGCTCCTATTAAATGAATTAACTTTTCAGGTACTTATTAAAGTGACAAATTACTAGCTTGGAAGATAATGGATCTACCTGAAATATTAAAGAAGGAAAAGTTTGACTTCCAGCTGTTCCTTTAATCTACATTTACCTTTAGAGTGGGCAAACACTGTAGATCAGTCAGGAGAGCAACAGGAGGTATTGAAAATATTTTTGGATGACATTGGCAAGAGACAGCACAATAGATGACAAAAGGAAGTTAATATTAAGTGTTTAAAAAGTGAGGTTTTGGAAAAACAAGGGAATGTGTTGCTAGGGCTACACTAAGCTCACCTAGTACCCTTCTGGAACATATGGAGAAACACTTTGATTAGAAACCAATCCTGCCTCTGTTGTCAAATGGGCTCAAGAAGCCCTTGGAGATGCCTTGAATACTAAGGATGTTTAGCTGGACTATCATTTTCCTCTAGGACCTCATTATTTATTGCATCTATTACTGTTAAATGTACTGCAAAAGCATTGATGGCCCCAGGCAAATGCTGTGTTGAATTACTTTGGTTGAGAATTCCTTTCTGAAAAGCCCGCAAACTAAACAGATAACTCAGGCAGAGAAGTGCTATCATTCCCTATATTACAGAGGAGAGGAGAGCTATTCAGGGTGCCAAAGATATTAACTCAAAAGAACCAAGGTTTCACCTGGAAATTTTATATCACTCATTGAAGGCCATTCCAAAAATCAAAGAAGATCATATCTCCTTTATTAGTATACTTATTTAGTTTTTCTCTCCTTGAATTATCAGTTACAGTTATCATTTATTGCTGTCACCAGGATCTTTCCCTTGGACAGCAGCATTGAGGATTTCTTTGTGACCTGCTGTTAGTGAGTCCCACTGGGTGATGCAGCAGCTGAATACAAAAGAAGCCCATTTTTTTTTGCTTTTCTTCCATGAATCTCCTGCTGCAGGTCCAGCAGAGGGTTGTTGGGAAGGATGGATAAATATAATTATTCATAAATAATACAGCCAGGATGAGAACAGTCCTCTCTGCTAGCCAGACAATGCCCTTGCCTACGGATGGGTCCAGGGGTCAAGTGGACT